AAGACGAGGCTAAGCAGGTCAACAATAATTATTTGCTTAAAATGGACATAAGACGAGGCTAAGCAGGTCAGCAATAATTATTTGGCTTAAAATGGACATAAGACGAGGCTAAGCAGGTCAACAATAATTATTTGACTTAAAATGGACATAAGACGAGGCTAAGCAGGTCAACAATAATTATTTGGCTTAAAATGGACATAAAAAGAAACGAAGTAATTTTCATTATTTATTCTTCAATGATTATCGATAATGTTATTAACGTAAATAAATGAAATTATTTCAAAATTTCATTTATTATAAATACGAAAGTTTAAGTTGAAAAATTAAATAATTAATTTATAATGAAAGAAATTTGTTTGTTTTTTTCTTCCAAAATAAAATAATTAATTTAAAATAATTTTTGAAATTTTGTTATTTTTATTTTGCATTTATTTTATAGAAAAAATTTATGGAAGAACGTCAACGACAAAAGCGTCGTCTTTCATCAGCTAACATTCGAACAAATGATACATCAATGATGGTAATGGTAACATCTAAAAGTAATCATAAGCTACATTGTTATAAAGGACCGTTATATTTTACATCACCGGAAGATCCGGATCGAATATCACCAACAACAGCTTCTGGATCAACTGTTACAACAGTTGTAACATCACAATATAATGAAAGGTTTAACCTCATGAATAATAAATAATTGATAACAAAAAGAATAATATCATCTAAAAATAATCCCTAAATTGCATTTCAATATTTAATTTCAATTAATGAATTCATTTTTACCGTTAAAATTTCAGTTATTCAATTTCATTACCTCATATTTATATTTGTATATTCAATTTTTAAATATGAATTTTTTTCACAATAAAATGTTTTTTCATAGATATCAAATAATCGAAAGAAATAAAGAAAAAATTTTTCACATTTAGCTATTCTTTCAATCTTTTTTCACGTTGTTTAATTCATTCCTTTGGATACTGTAAAAATAAATCAAGGAATGAATTAGGCTAATTAGATCGAATAAAAGATAGAATTTAAAAAATAAAATTATGATAATCAATATTAATAGTTATTAATTAACTACCTTGCAGGTATATTTTTCAAACTAAGACCATATTATATCATTTGATTTTTTTGAAAATTTTTTTTTTTAGCTTTGAAATTTTATTAATTAATGTAATTGATATATACATTTTATTTTAATAATTTCCAATGAATCATCGTAATAACATCTTTTGTATTCCAATTGAGATTGTTGAAATTAAAAGTAAATTAGCTAATTATAGTTCTTCGGAAGATGTTAATCAATCACCGTACAATTCATCAGCTACAACATTTGTCCCAAATAGTACAAGTGCGACATTTGAACCAAACGATGAAGCATTAGTGGAACCATGGAAAGATGAAATTGAAGAAAATATTTTACCATTTAAGTTTATTACTTAACATATTTTCGAGTAATTTCCTTTTCCCTTTTTTTTTTGCTTCTTTTAACTAAAATAACGGATAAAAATAAAAACCTAAAATTGTTGATTTTTAAAATAAATTAAAATTTTATTATTAAAAATTTAAAATATATTGAATGAAAAAATTATTATGGAAAAATTTCAGTGGTTGAAAATCCAGATATAAGTGAAATTATGACAAATTTGGAAATATTTGTAACATCACCAGCAAGAAGGAATGTCACTTATAAATGTCGCATAACACGTGATAAGAAAGGTGTTGATCGTGGGATTTATCCAACCTATTATCTACATCTTGAAAAAGATGAAGAACAGAGGGTATGCAAAATATATGTATATGCATATATTGATTAATTAATTAAAAATTAAGAATGAAAATTATCAATAAATTTTGGCTATAATTTTATAATCAGTTAGTTAATATCAATTAAAAATCAAAATATTAAAATATTTCGCTAAAATACAATAATTCTTAGTATTTCCTGATAATTTTATCAATGAAATAGGACTAATCATCATAAATCTAAGTAATAATTTAAATTTTGAATTTTTTTTTCTTGAAAAAATAATTTTACTTATTTTTATTAAACGGCAAATTTTTCATCCATAATAATTATGTAAACTTTGCCATTTTTTTAAATTTAAAAAAAATTTATTCTAAAAAAAATTTTTTCATTTTAAAAAATATTAAATAAAAATTAATTTATATGATAAAAATTTTTAGGTTTTCCTTTTGGCTGCACGAAAACGAAAAAAAGTACCACAGCGAATTATTTAATTTCCATTGATCCAACCGATTTGAGACGTTATGGTAATTCTTTCATCGGAAAAGTTCGGTAAATATCATTTTGGAATTTTGAACAAGGAAGTGAAAATTTATTTCAGATTAATTTTAGATTTAATTAATTGATATTTTATGAAGTTAGAAAATATTGGTTTATTTTAATTGAAATGTTAGCAGGGAAGTTATAGAATTTATATATTATAAATTTCATTAGTAAAATAATATTATCACGAATATCAAAATTCCTGAATGATATCATCAGGAATGCTTTGTACACTCAATTTCTTGATTCCGGAATTACATATGTGTAATCTTGTAAAGGAAAAAAAGAAAAAGGTTCTAGTAGATATTAGCTATTAAATCTTTCTGTTTAAACAAATTTATTAATCAAAGTTTTCTAATTATTAATACGATTTACCGGAATTTGCTAGAATAAAGCAAAATACTCTTAATTAGT